CATCCTCCCCCTGGAGATGTCGAGCTGGGTGAGAGAATGTGGAGCCAAGACCACTTCCCAGGCGGTGTCGCTGGCAGAAGATTTCCTGAGTCTGAGTCAGGAAGAAGAGAAAAAACAAGGAGAGGAAAAGGTGAGAACAATTATTGTTGGCGACTCAGAGTCTGAAGTGGGGGAGCCCACAGCCTCTGCCTGTCTGTTTGATGGCTGTTCTGCTAGAATTGGCTCCCCCCGCCCTCCCTTAGGGTCCTTGAAAGCAAGATGTGTGGTCCGTGTGTATCATATTTGGAACCTAAAAACAGTTCCTTATGTTGGGGAGATTCTCTTCCACTTTAAAACAGGGTGTGTGCATTACTGCACCCTCGGTGTGCTCAGTTTTCAGAGAAAATGGCATTCAATTCAGCAGTTTGGGGTGTGATAGGGTGGGATCCACTCCTCTATCTTGTCCATGACTGTAACAGCCTCCTTATACCTCACAAAGGGGCCGTTACGTCACTCTCAATCACTCTTGTTCCCATTGCCACCAGCCATTCCCTCAAAGGAATCTTCAGGCCAGAGTATGAATTCAAAATAAAAATTAAGGTTTATTGTGTACAAACAAAAGGAATGGTAAATCACTTGAATATAAATAATACTTTAATCACTATAATATTATAACTATTACACACCCACTCTCACAGACTCTCTCAGTGTAGCACAGTTCTTATCTCTCAGTATCTCCAAGCCCTAACCGTCCCTATCTCAAAGCCCTATCTGAACCACTCACACCATTCACTCCCCTTATATACAACAGCTCCACCCCTTATGTCCCACCCTCCGTCACGCCATTGGCAGATGACACACAGCTTCAGCAGTGACGGGCAGTGATGTCATAGCTGTATGTAACAATGACTACTCAAAAGGGTGGAGAAACTGAAATCCCACAATTTCTACAAGTTCCAGATGTTTTCCTTGCAAAAATCTAAGCATGTTTCTTTTCAATCTTCTTATTCCACATAATGGATCCCTAGATTAGAAATCCATTGGTAGAAATCCAGTCTGATATCCATGCAGCACAGAAATCTCCTTTTGACACCAGAAAAAGTCCCCAAAGACAAGAAAGCCCGGAAATCTCCTTTCGACGCCAGAAAAAGTCCCCAAAGACAAGAAAGCCATCAAGGCAACGAGGAAAGTTCCAGTTCAGTAGGTAAGGATTTATGTTGGGAGAGTTTGTGTTTCTCTCTGCATATCCCCTCCCCACACCCGTGTCTTTTAGGCTAGAGGGACACTAGTCTTTAGTTCTTTCGATACGCCAACCCAGTGTTTTCATTTTTAATTCTCCTAGACTTTTTACATAGCTAGCAGTTCTTCTGTTTCTCTCAAGGAGGCCAGTTACGAAAAGATTCACTTTTATGGCGTCTAGAAAAAAACCCTCTAAAGTACACATTTTGGGAGAGAACTTAATTCAACGATGGGCACTTCTTTGTGGGTTGGTTATCATGATATCCCACATTTCTTCTGAGATGCTCACAGCTTCTTTCCTCATCACCTTATCTTTACTAGAATTACTTTGTGAGGGAGATCAGGCTGAGGGGAGAGTGGATGGCTCCGCATCACCCAGTCAGTAACATGGTTCATCGGGGCCCAGAAGGGGATCTCCGGCGTCACTGCCCCACAGACTAACCCCAATGGATCTAAAAATGCTTTGGCATGACATCCCCTTTTTTCATTCTTCAGAAATATTTTTGTTTCCCCATATCTCTTTTGCCATCATACAGCACATTTTATGCAACATTTTCTGATTGTAATTGATAATGAAAAATAAATGCAAAAAACTTTTATATTCTTTTCTCTTTTATGGCAAAGTGAGAATGGAAAATTTACTGTAAGAAATAACTTAAATCAACCACAAAAACATATAATGATTGAAGAATTCAGCTTAAATATTAAGAGGAATGTAGGAATCCTGAGTTTGAGAGGGATCATCAACTCCACGTAAAGGCAGTGGCTTCAGAGCAGGCAGAGATGTTCTATAATGTGAAGTCAAAGAAGTTGAAAATGTCCTTCATTTCTTTCTGTTTCTTTGAAAAGTGTGGAGAATACTGTGTTTGGTGTGCTATGTGTTTCTTCATGGTATTTTCTCACACTTTCCTGAAGGGGCACCATTTATTATGTGGGAACTTGTGTCTTTCACTGGGATGTGAATCCTCTAGAGCAGTGGTCCCCAACCTTGGGCCTCCCGATGTTCTTGGACTACAACTCTCAGAAGCCTTCACCACCAACTCTGCTGGCTGGGGTTTCTGGGAGTTGCAGTTCAAAAGCATCCGAGTAACAAAGGTTAAGAACCACTGCTCTCGAGTAGTTGTCCCGAACCTTGGCCCCCCAGATGTTCTTAGACTACAGAAGCCTTCACCACCATCTTTGCTGGCTAGGATTTCTGGGAGTTGTAGTGCAAGAACATCTGGAGGCCCAAAGTTGGTCCCCAACCTTTTGTGTGCCGAAGATCTGTTAGGGGGGCACACTCGCAGATGGGTGGTGCGCTCTCTTCCCACCCACGGATGGGCAGGGCACATGTGCGTGCGGGTGGGCAGGCCATGTGTGCAGGTGGACATGTAGGGGTGTGTGTGTGTGTGTGCCGAAGATCTGTATCAAACACCATGTCCTTCAAAGGCCATGGACTGACACTGGTTGGCAGACCGGGATTTGGGGACCCATGCTCTAGACTTTTGTTTTTAGCTTGCATTTCTTGATGTCATGATCTCACTGTGAGAGAAGTTTATACAAATGGCTTCCCGCCCCCTTGGTCTGTCCCGCAGGGTCTGGGAAAAGGCCAACAACAAGTATTCCTTCATCTTTTCCTGGTGATGCAGCAGAACCAGATCAGGTACAAAGAAGGGCGTTACGGGACACCACGTGGATTTGAATCCTGGAATATTCAACCACTTTACTCCTCATTGAGGCTGGCCATGCTTTTTTTTAATGAGATGATCCACATTATCAATAATTATATGGCAGGCTGATAAGCATAACTTTCTCCATGTGGAAAATATGAGACTAAGAGTAGCTGTGCTGGATCAGAGCAAAGGCTGGTTCAGTCTATCATCCTGTGCCCCAAAGAGTCTTCCTTGATGCCTCAGGGATGATTCCAAGGAAGGCAAGTAGGCTGCCAGTAGCCCCTTCCCTCTGTTGATCTCCAGCCACTGGGGTGTGGATACTTCTCTTCCTGGAGGGAGCACATGGCCAAAGTGACTCATAACCCTTGGTAAACTTGATCTCCTATAGAAAGGGTGTTGATGAAACTTAAAACCTACAATATAAGATCCAGCCACTTCTCTTTACTTCTGTATTGGATTTACGGGGCCATCTTTGCGAAACCTATGAACGGGTCCTGATTTCTTTCTCCTTTAGGATCCAGTTACCTTTGAGGACGTGGCCGTGTCCTTCACCCAGGAGGAGTGGGCGCTGCTGGATCCTGACCAGAAGGCCCTCCACCAGGAAGTCATGGAGGAGAACTGGCAAATGATATCCTCTTTCGGTAAGGCCCCCTCTTTCTCCAGCTGATGCTAATATCTCTTTACCAAGGCACTAAGGAGACTAACAACAACAGCAACAATAGTTCTTCTGCATCAGTTATTCAAACTCGTGCTAGCCACTGCAGGGCCCATAATGCCAAATATCTCCCTACAGTTCACAAAATATAATAGAAGAAATTGTTAACACCCCCCCCAAAACCCCTTTTCCTGGACAGATCATAAGATTAGAGAGTCAAGAAAAAAATCAGAGAGGATGGCGGCCACACTGAGAGAGAGAAAGTAGTTCTTCTGCATCAGTTATTCAAACTCCTGCTAGCCACTGCAGGGCCCATAATGCCAAATATCTCCCTACAGTTCACAAAATATAATAGAAGAAATTGTTAACACCCCCCCCAAAACCCCTTTTCCTGGACAGATCATAAGATTAGAGAGTCAAGAAAAAAATCAGAGAGGATGGCGGCCACACTGAGAGAGAGAAAAGAGAATACAGTGGTGCCCCACTTAACGATTACCCCACTTGATGACGAATCCGCTTCATGACGATGTTTTTGCGATCGCAATTGTGATTGCAAAATGATGTTTTAATGGGCTTTTTTCACTTCCTGACGAGCGGTTCCCAGCTTCAGGAACTGATTCTTCGCATTACGACTTTCAAAACAGCTCATCGGGTTTTCAAAATGGCCACCAACTGCTGAAAATGGCTCCCCGCTGTTTTTAGAAGGCATTTTTCTCTGCACAGGCGCCCAGAAATGGCCGCCCTATGGAGGATCTGCGCTGGACGAGCAGATATTTCATCCATTGGAACGCATTGAACGGTTTTCAATGCGTTCAATGGGCTTTTTTATTTCGCTTGATGAGATTTTCGCTCTACAGTGATTTCTCTGGAACGGATTATCCTCATCAAGCAAGGCACCACTGTAGTTTGAATGGAGAAACCCACACAAAAACAGCAGCTTTCACCCACAAGGTGTTTGAGAACTCCCTCCCCAGAGAATAGAGAAAGATGGACAGTTGTGGGGAGACTACACACGCCCTCTTTTGCACTGGCAGTTTCCTGGGGACCCCCATGAGACTCTAAATTGAGATAAAAATTATCACAATAGCAGGTTTGTGGAAATTAGATGTTTCAGCAAATCATTCTGTTTACCCCTTCCTCTCTCTGTTGGAGGAGACCGTGGAACCAGCTTCTTGAATGGTTTGGAATTAAATGTTGATGGTTTAAAGCAAGAAAGATTGTCTAGAGTAGGGGTCCCCTAACCCCGATCCATGACCCAACACCGATCTGTGGTCTATGCAGGACCAGGCCATGGAGACAGATTTCCCGCCCCGCCCCCGCACACACTGACTCCACGCACTCCCACTCACATGCACATCCCAACCACCAGCATGCACGGGTGTCCCGCCTCCCTCCCCCTGAGCGTGACCTGCCCCCACTAGTGATCCCCCCATGCATGCTCTGAAGTATGCCCCGCACAAGTTCGCAAGCAAGCCCCCCGTGAATCCGAGCACGACAAGCACCAGCCCCCCCCACGCATGGATCCTACTCCCTAAACCAGTTGGGTACCACTGGTATAATGTATCTGTTGATGGGGAACAAAAAGGGGGACAGGGATGAGAATGCAAAATTAAAGAGGAGAAAAGGACAAAATATTATGTGCCTTAAAAACCCCACAGATTTAGTTTTATGTGAGTTTTCATGCATCAAAATTCCCCCTTAATAAATCTTTCTCTTTCCCCCCATAGATCTATCTGATTCTTTGGTTCTGTCTCTCCTGCATTTGTCCCACTTCCTCGGAGAAAACTGGAGGAAGAAAAATATATATCCCAAATCTGGGAAGAGTGTTATGCATCAGTTAGAGGTTACCAGATGCCAGAGAATACATGCAGAAACGGAAAGCTGCATTCCGGAGAAGCCTTACACATGCATTGTGTGTGGAAAACATTTTGCCATGAAGATAGCACTGATGCTTCACAAAAGGCTCCACACTGGAAAGAAGTGCTTTGTGAGTGAAATGACTGGGAAATGTTTAAGTTGGATGCAACCCTTTGTGAATTTTGAAAAAAAGAAACCATATAAATGCCAGGAGTGCGGGGAATGTTTCGGTCGAAAATCACACCTTGTAACTCATAAGACAGTTCACACAGGTGAGAAACCATACAAATGCCAGGAGTGTGGGAAATGTTTTGCTCGAAATTCACATCTCTTCAACCATAAGAAAGTCCACACAAGAGAGAAACTATGTAAATGCCAGGAGTGTGGGAAACATTTTGCTCAAAATTCAAGTCTTTTGAAGCATAAAATAATCCACACAGGAGAGAAACCGTACAAATGCCAGGAGTGTGGGAAATGTTTTGCTACGAATTCATACCTTGTGAGTCATAAGAGAGTCCACACAGGAGAGAAACCATACAAATGCGAGGAGTGTGATAAATGTTTTGCTCACAGTTCACAGGTTGTGAATCATAAGAGAGTCCACACAGGAGAACATCCATACAAATGCCAGGAGTGTGGGAAATGTTTTACTCAGAATTCAACCCTTTTGAGTCATAACAGAGTCCACACAGGAGAGAAACGGTATAAATGCCAGGAGTGTGGAACTCGTTTTGCTCAGAATTCACACCTTTTGATGCATAAGATAGTCCATACAGGAGAGAAACCATACAAATGTCAAGAGTGTGGGAAATGTTTTGCTTGGAAATCAAACCTTGTGAAGCATAAGAGACTCCACACAGGAGAGAAACCATACAAATGCCAGGAGTGTGGTAAATGTTTTGCTGAGAATTCAACACTTATGAGTCATAAGAGGATCCACACAGGAGAGAAACCGTATAAATGCCAGGAGTGTGGAAAATGTTTTGCTGAGAATTCAACACTTATGAGTCATAAGAGGATCCACACAGGAGAGAAACCGTATAAATGCCAGGAGTGTGGAAAATGTTTTGCTGAGAATTCAACACTTATGAGTCATAAGAGGATCCACACAGGAGAGAAACCGTATAAATGCCAGGAGTGTGGAAAATGTTTTGCTGAGAATTCAACACTTATGAGTCATAAGAGGATCCACACAGGAGAGAAACCGTATAAATGCCAGGAGTGTGGAAAATGTTTTGCTGAGAATTCAACACTTATGAGTCATAAGAGGATCCACACAGGAGAGAAACCGTATAAATGCCAGGAGTGTGGAAAATGTTTTGCTGAGAATTCAACACTTATGAGTCATAAGAGGATCCACACAGGAGAGAAACCATACAAATGCCAGGAGTGTGGTAAACGTTTTGCTGAGAATTCAACACTTATGAGTCATAAGAGGATCCACACAGGAGAGAAACCATACAAATGCCAGGAGTGTGGTAAACGTTTTGCTGAGAATTCAACACTTATGAGTCATAAGAGGATCCACACAGGAGAGAAACCATACAAATGCCAGGAGTGTGGTAAACGTTTTGCTGAGAATTCAACACTTATGAGTCATAAGAGGATCCACACAGGAGAGAAACCATACAAATGCCAGGAGTGTGGTAAACGTTTTGCTGAGAATTCAACACTTATGAGTCATAAGAGGATCCACACAGGAGAGAAACCATACAAATGCCAGGAGTGTGGTAAACGTTTTGCTGAGAATTCAACACTTATGAGTCATAAGAGAATCCACACAGGAGAGAAACCGTACAAATGCCAGGAGTGTGGGAAATGTTTTGCTCGAAGCTCACAGCTTGTGAATCATAAGAGAGTTCACACAGGGGAAAAACCATATAAATGCCAGGACTGTGGGAAATGTTTTGCTTTGGCCGGTCGTCTTGTATTGAGATTAAAAAATGTTCACCTGAGATAGAGTGATATTCACTTTTGGCAATACTCCCCTGGCTTGTCAACTAAGGAGAATAGTTAAATCAAACATCCAATTAATTTCCCTGATAATCTGTGATTGCTCCAAAACATATGCAGGAAACACGGCAAGGCCAGTTAAAATCAGGATGCAAGAACACCAGTCAAGGATTAGAAATGAAGTGATGGATGCGCCACTAGTAAGTCATTTTGTAGAAATGGGTTTGTGATCGGGTTCCTCATAAATCTGGAGCAGTTCTTCTCTTTTGGTGGGAAATAACAAAAGAATCTATTTTTGAACATCAACGGTTTTATTGAACTTCACATTAGGTGAATGATCACCTCTACCGGTTCTAATAAACTCACATCAGGCAACTGTCCATTGTGGAGTGATAACAAATTAGTCTTTGAATTGACATGACGTATGAAGAGACTGGTCCAAACCGTTCGGGATCAATGGGCTTCCTCAGGGGTGTACTCCTCACCACACAGATGGTCCCACAACAGGGATGTCTGACCCAGTTGCCCTTCAGTGGTGGACTGTTGAATGAGGAGTCCGGTCTGACCACCTTCTTCCAGCGATCTTGTCCTTGCGGATACACCACTACTGCCCATTCTAGAGAGTCTATATGTGTCCCGTTTCCTTTGGAGTTGTCTGGGTCCAGTAACAATCCTCTGGTCTTTAGATTGGGAAAGACTTCTAACAATCCTCTCATTATATTCTGTTCGGCTTCTTTATCCTTTTCTCCTCTTCCCTCTCTTTTCTGATGTGCCCGGAATTCTAAATTGTCTGATCTCTTATATCTTCTTCCGATACGGTAAAACTTACTCCTCTCTCTCTTCCTCCTCCACTAAGCAAACCTCAATCTTTTCCTCTCTCTCTTTCATCTCCCTCCTCATCTCTTTCCTCTTTTAACCCTGTTTTTAACTACTTCATCCTGTGCGAGTGTCTTTTGTTGAGGGGACTGCTCACTCCACTTTCTCTTTTTTTCTTTATCTCTCCTTCACAGGGTCACAAAGAAGATAGCTTTAAATTTTTTGTACTGTATGTTACTATAAAGACAGGTGAGGAAGCTATATCCAAAGATCTCCTACAGAAGGGAATAACATGGATATTCAGATTAAAATCTCTTATTTCAAATGGTTTCAATGCCAATATTGATTACACTTTTTTAATGATTTTTCTTATGGAGTGATGAGACATGTCTGTATTTCTTTGTCCTGTGCTTGTACTATCATTTTAAATTCCTCTGTTAAAGTAGTTCAACAGCTGTAATGAGTAGAGAGATGTGTGCTTCGTTTCCAGGGAATACGAACAGGAAGTGCACCAGCAGAGGTGTCGTGCCGGTCGATTCCCACTTCCCGGAACCCTCCTAGTCCACTCATGAGTCTCCCTGCTCAGTTGTGGAGCAGTCAGCTACAGGGAGAGGTGGGGAAGCGCCAGTGGGACTAGTGCTGAGATTGGTGTGACACAGTTATTGACAGAGTCGTACGCTGCACAGAGCTGAATAATTGCACCGGGCTGTTTCTGGGAAAGTGAAAATAGACCACCGGACACCTGTATTGGTGAGCTTCATATCTGTATCCTCTGAATACAAATACAGTGGTGCCTCTCACAGCGAGGTTAATCCGTTGTGTGGATTCGTCGTTCTATGGTGCACTTGTTGTGCGAGGCACCACTGTACAAAGCTCACATCTTGTAATGCATTATTTTGAAGGTATTTGAGAGCAGATGTGAACTGCTATGGTATGAGGATTTTATCTTCTGGGAAGTCCATTTTGACTGGAATACTAAGTACACTGAGAATAAGGTTTTAATAAAGGGGTATTAAGTAGTTTTGGAAATGAGTTTGTATTTTAATGTTCTAGGCCCTGTATTGCCAAGCCTTTGGTCTTAAGGTTTGACAAAGGAAGTGGAACCAGGAATTTATGTGAGCCCCGTTCAGCTGGGACAACATAAGCTTTGACAAAGGAACCGTAACCATTATCAAGTAAAACTTTACTGCAAAGGAATTTCTGGGACTTAAATCCTTTATTGAAGTCTTCCATGTAAAAGCAATGGACCAGATGAGCTGAAGAATTCCTTGATAGACATTTTGGCTTCCTGGTGGATCTGTTTGTTTTCAATAAATATATTTTGTATTTATTGAAATGTAGTTCATATTTCAGGTGATCAAGTACTTTAAGAAAATTTAGTTGCTGTAGGAAATTTGTATTTAGTCAGACCACACGGTTTTTCTTTTGTTACTTGATTACAGTATTACTTTTCTCTTGTTTTGGGTGGCAGTAGTGCTAACTGGCCAGTGAATCATCAATTAATGGTTTGCTGCTTGTGTCATTCACTGTGCATCAATTCATACAATGGAGCACCCACTGCCTAAATTTCAATTAATATCAATCCACTGGCACAATTCACTTTGACCCTGAAGGATCTCACTGGGAGTATTCTGGCGAGCATGTTCTGTTTGGCATAATCAATAGGAAACCATGTTTTCAGTGATATGCATTGGTTGAAATTAAAAAGAATTTTGTTGAAACAGCAGAAATTATATTAGTATTAGCCTGGAATTTATTTCCCCCTTTTAACAAAACACCTAACTAGTTTTCTTTTGTCTTGGGGATGCAACGTCGATGATACCACTTTGACTGAATATAGTATTAGGATTCCCATTACTTTTTCTTTAAGAAAAAAAAACTCTCTGGATGATGCCCATATTCTTTCAAATTACACTTCTGTATCTTGGAGAGCCAACCATAAGATGGCTCTTCTGCTGTTTGTGTAAGGTGTGCATAATTTTCTGTGGTTAATTGCACATAGTTCACTTTCTGGAGTACTGTTGATAGCCAAAGAACAAATATGTCAGGGGAAATTCTCACAGAAGGTCTGACAGGACTGTGGCCCATTTCACCCCATACATGAAGTGCAGCTCCTGTTAGAAGTGCAGGCATACTTGGAAAGGAATTTGGGACTCCAAAAGTGAAAAAGGCTCCAATGTCAATTATGGTGGCAATAGTGGTTGTTTAATGAACAGTCGTTGAGGTAGCCGACAATTACATCCTTGCCAGAGTTGGTGCTGATCTGAAGCCCAATAAGGTAAAGACTGCCTCCTTTCTGTCTCTGGGTAATTCTATATAAAAGGAGGTCTCCACTCATCTGTTTTTGTTTCATTAGCAAATGTGGATTTACATATTGATTCTTGCTGCTTTAAAAAAAAAAAAAATTCCTTGGTTTAATTTTCTATGTTCCTGCTTGGTGAAGGCATAGCCATCCAGAAAGCTGGCTCCCTCGCTCTCTCTTTTTGTGTCAGTTTTAGTTCACCTCATAAACTGTATCACCACAAGGTGTGTATTTGGAACTAAAACGGAATCTTAAAATGAAAATATGGTGTAAAACCGAGTGCTTCTTGGTGGGAAGGGGAAGGTGATGAGAAAATTCTTTTAAAACTGAGAGGAAGGCAATGATTGAAATATACCATAAAATAATTTTAGGCAACAGAAGCAGGACTTCATGTCAGGCCTGCAAGGGGCTGCTCCTCTCCAGCCTATCAAGCGAAAGGCCCCGATCCCTCCTTCCACACCCATCTCCTGACCTGGGAAAGGACAGGAGCCTTTCTCCCCCACACAGATCCTCCCCTGACCCACATCCCCCACCTTCTGCCACTCTTTTAACAAACAGGCAGAGATCCTATTGAGGTGTCTGATGGGCTGGTGGTTACCAAAGCCATGGGGAGCCACCTCACCCCACTGCCCATTTTGGAGGTCCCATTTCAGTCCTAGCACCAGCGCTTGGGAGCAGAGCAGAGGCCATTTCAGCAACTGCACAAAGAGCCAAAGGCACACCAGGAGATCTCCCAACAGGGCCAAAAAGACCCAGTTGATGACTGAACACTGGGTCCCTCTCTCCGAACTTGAGCTATGAACCCCTTAGGGTGGGGACCTGTTGTGGAAATTATTAAAAAATACTATGCAGGTACTTTAAATCAGAGAGAGAAAAACAGACTGCCCAACAGCCCCAGGGAATATTTTGATACAAAAAAAACAGGAACAGAAGATGACATAGAAAAAGATCAAATTGTAGAGGCTTTCTGGTTCATTTCTTTCCCTGGCAGATCATGTTTTCAAATAAATTCCTTTTTCCCTGACCGATCCAAAGAGGCAGAGAGAGACCAAGACTCCCCCAATCCAGGCGCTCCGAGAGGAGATTGGTCGAGTCTGTTCTCGGCCTGCCAGGAGCCTGGCTCGGCTTCAGTCATTATATACACCTATTTAAAAAAACCGTGCAGGCTTTTGTACCCCGACCTTCAGCCTGAAGTGGAAAGGAGGGAACTTTAAACGGGGCGCTTCTAGAAACAAGACAAAAGGTGAGTGTTTTCTAATCTGGATTTTGGTAGGAAAAGAAAACCCGGAAAAGAGAACAGTAAGAAAGGAAGGGACGAAACGGGGGTCATTTCTGGGCAGGAAATTCCGGAGGAAAAGGGGTCTCCTGGTGAGTAAAAGAAGAGAGGGAGGGAGAGGGAAACGGTGGCTCCCCATCTCATCCACTCCCCTTTGAGTCCTTGGAAAGCCTTGGAAATGTTTGCAGCCGAATTTGATGAGCGAAACAGGCGGGGAGGGTGAGAGGGGCGGAGGAGGGACGGGCTGGGTTCCTCTTGATGGGAATTTCTGGCCCTTTCTTGTGGGAAAGGATAAGGAGGGAGGGTTTAGGAAGAGCGAGGCGGCGGCCTCAGGCGGCAGAAGGGAGAGGGGCAGCCCTGAGGGTCCCCCAACCTTCCCCCATGTGGCCCTTCTGGCCTTTTCTCGGGCCTCCAGAGCTGGACTGCTGGCCTCCCTCGGAGCCATTAATGGACATTGTCAAGCCATGCGGGAGAGCTGATCCCAGGACAAGGGGAGGCGAGAGAGCAGCATCTTTTGAAATCCCTGCATTTCCCTGTGTTTCCAAAAGAAATTGGCCACTGAAGAGTTGATAGTCTCTCCAAACAGAGTTTGACTTTGCAGTCTTGATTTCATTTCAAGATGTGCACGTGAGTTCACGTGTTCTGCTCTAGTCTCTCCAAACAGAGTTTGACTTTGCGGTCTTGATTTCATTTCAAGGTGTGCACGTGAGTTCACGTGTTCTGCTCTGATGCAAGAAAAATACATGTTTGCTAATTAGAACAAAAATAATGGCATAATAATAGGGTTGCCCTTTGCTTAGGAATAGCCAGAGCTGTTAAAGGAGACAACTGGGTTTTGAATCGCCCAATTTGCCCTCTTCTGAGCTCTGCTAAAGGATCCAAACCTGTTCTGCATATTTTGTAATCAAAATTTTGGCTCTTGTTCTCTCCTCTCGCTGCCTTCTCTGGTTGATGTTTCTTTTGTCAAAAGAAAGAGGAAGGGATCCTGGAAATGGTGAAAAAGGGAAGAAAGAGACCAGAGAGGGAGAGGAAAGTGTGGCCTCTGTCGAAAAGTTTGTCTGGGATCTCTTTTTCCCCCTCTTGGATCTGGGGAGCCTCCTCCTCCTTCCCCCCATTGCAACTGGGAAGGATGGTGAGTCTGTCCCAGCAGAGCTGCCTGTAAGGGTGGGGGGAACTGGGGGAGGCCAGAGGAAGGGAGAGGGGCAAGAGTGGGGAGGAGAGTCCCCAAAAAGGGGGCAGAAGAGGCAGCTGGAGGGGAATCCCAAGGGAACGCAGAGGGGAGACCTACATCTCTGTAACCCCAAGAAAAGATAGGCCAGGGGCCTCAGGAAGATTGGTTGTCAAAGATCACTGGTTCAACAACCACCAATCCATCACCTGCGAACTGCAGTGATCATCTTACTTGGCTTTAGCCCTGGGCCCATGAAAAGCGGGAATTCAGATGTGTTAGCTATTAATTATGAGAAATACAGTATTACGAAACCTCTAACCTACTGAACTGTAAAAGGTCCTGTGCTGAACCTTTCCCTGTTTGAGAAAGGCACTCTAAGCTACAGTAGGAATAAAAAGCTCTATCTCCTGTGGAACTATACCTGACAACATTTAGGAATAGTGTTATGAAATTGTTTTGTTATTCTTCTAAGCAATTTGAAAAGATCCATCGGGGTGGCAGATGCTTCCACATCTGAGGGTCTGAAGTACTTTGGTCAGTGGCTGTCAAATGAAGGAAGAGCCCCACATGCCTGTCTCTCACCTCAGCCTTCAAATTCTCCTGCCTTTTATTTTTGGAGATGAGGTTTGATTGGTGGCTGCTCTATTGCCCTTTTTGCCTTATCTGTGTTAATACGGGAGAGTCTTGGCTTTGCAGAGCTTCCATAGTCTGGTCTCTTAAGGCAGTTTTTCCTCCACAGAGGGAGAAGCGTTCTAGGACTCCATTGGAGGCCTTGTTGGCTACAGTGGCTCAAACCAGAGCAACACACAAAGTCTGAGATTCTGGACCTGGTCATCTTGGAGCAGTTCCTGACCATCGTCCCCCTGGAGATGTCGAGCTGGGTGAGAGAATGTGGAGCCGAGACCACTTTCCAGGCGGTGTCACTGGCAGAAGGTTTCCTGAGTCTGAGTCAGGAAGAAGAGATAAAGCAAGAAGATCAGTAGGTGATGGCTGTTCTGCTGGAATAGGCTCCCCCTGCCCTCCCTTAAGTTCCTTGAAAGCAAGATGTGTGATCAGTGTGTATTGTATTTGAGACCAAATCACAGTTTCTTACATCAGTGTGTCACCCCGCCCTCAGTGTGCCCAGTTTTCTGAGAAAAATGTAGGTTTACTTCATGCATTAACACAGCATCCATTTCAGGCATTTGGGATGTGCAGCGGTTTGGATGTGATCCTTTTTCTAGAGGGATTGTCCACCACTCCATCTTGTCCGTGACTATTCGAACGGGTGGAGAAAATGAGAGAGGAAATTCCAGGAATTATAACACTTCCCAATATTTTTCTTGTAAAAGTCTGGGCAGGGTGTGACGTATCTCCCAAGTCCCAGCCTCATCCACTGAGATCTTTGTCTCTGTTTTTTCTGTCTTCTTATTCCACATAATGGATCCTCAGAGGAATAATCCCTCGATAGAAATCCAGTCTGATTTCCATGAAGCAGAGAAATATCCTGTCCATGCCGGAAAAAGTCCCCAACGAGAAGAGAACCATCAAGGCTATGAGGAAAATTACAGTTCAGTAGGTAAGGATTCATGTTGGGAGAGTTTGTGTTTTTCTCTGCATATCCCCCCCAGGTACCTTTTAGGCTAGAGGGACACTAGTCTGTAGTTCCTTCTATGCATCAACCCAGTGTTTTCGTTTTTAGTTTTCCTAGACTTTTCACATAGCTAGCAGTTCTGTTTCTCTCAAGGAGGCCAGTTATGAAAAGATTCATTTTTATGGTGTCTGAAAGAGAAAACCTCTAAAGTACAAATTTTGGGAGAGAACTTGATTCAACGATGGCTACTTGTTTGTGGGTTGGTTATCATTTCTTCTGAGATGCTCACAGCTGCCTTCCTTATCAGCTTATCCTTATTAGAATTACTTTGTGAGGGAGATTAGGCTGAGGGGAGATTGGATAGCTCCACATCACCCAATCAGTCCATCGGGGACTAACCACATAAAGGCTATGACTTTAGAAGCAGCAGAGAGAAACACGGAGCAGCCCACCAGATTTTCTATAATGTGGAGTCAAAAAAGGCGAAAAACGTCATTCATTTCTTTCTGTTTCTTTGAAAAGTGTGGAGAATACTGTGTTGGGTGTGCCATGTGTTTCTCCATGGGTGGTCTCCAGGCTCCTTTGAACTCTCTGGAGTATGTAAAAAAATTGTTCTATATGGAGGAGAAATTCCTGCATGTTTCATAATATATATTTAATTCTGCAGTTGGCGCTGTAGCTAGTTAAGTACAGTGGTGAACCACTTGACTATGATGATTCGTTCCAGCAAAATCGCGAAAAAAACATTGAAATGCATTGAAAACCGTTCAGTGCGTTCCAATGGGGGAAATACCTCATCGTCCAGCGAAGATTGCCCATAGAGAATTGTTGATCAGCTGTTAAGAATCGCTGTAATGCGAAGCTTCTGTCTGGAAATCAGCCATTTTGAGAAGGGAGGGAAGCCATTTTGCAGTGCTGGAAAAAACAGGCTCCTAATCAACATAAAGCGGATTTCCCCCATTGGAACCATCGTTTAGCAATTTCACTGTCATGCGGGGTAAGCGTCTAGCAGGGCACCACTGTAGTTAGCTATGTGGCAAGTATTTAGTATTGTTAAGATTTGGAAAAAATTTATATCTCGTACTCTCTTGGAATACCATTTCCTCAAACTTTCTTGAAGGAGCACCATTTATCATATGGGAACCAGGGTCTGTGAAGATGCCAACAACAAATATTCCTTCATCTCTTCATGATGATACATTGGAACCCGTTCAGGTACAAAGAAGGCGGTTACGGGACACCACATGGATTCAAATGCTGGAGTTTTCAACCACATTTCTCCTCATTGAAACTGGCTATGCTTTTTTAACGAGATAATCCAGGTTGTAAATAATTATATGGCACGCTTTCTCCATGTGGAAAAAAATGTTTCTCTTTTCTTTTGAAGAATGAGCCAAGACTTTTTGAGGCTTTCCAAAACCAAATGTGGGGACAGAAGGAATTACTTTTCTCTCCCTATTTTCTCATCCGGAATACATTTCTCAGGCTCTGTTTTTTTATGGAAGTGATAAGACTAAGAGTAGCCGGGCTGGATCATAGCAAAGGCTGGTTCAGTCTAGCATCCTGTGTCTCACCGAGGCTTCCTTGATGCCCCAGAAAAGCTTCAAAGGCAGGCATTTAGTCCGCCAGTAGCCCCTTTCCTCTCTCTGCTGAACTCCAGCCACTGGGGTTCGGAGACTTCTCTTCCTCAAGGGAGCACATGCCCGAAGTGACTAGTAATCTTTGGATAACTTGTACTCCTATAGAAAGGGTGTTGATGGAAATTAAAACCTACAATAGAAAATCCAGTCACTTCTCTTTAATTGCGTTTTGGATTTAGGAGGTTATCTTGGTGAAACCTATGTGGAAGGCCTCCTTTCTTTTCCATTTTTAGGGTCCAGTGACCTTTGAGGAGGTGGCTGTGTACTTCACCCAGGAGGAGTGGGCGCTGCTGGATCCCAACCAGAAGGCCCTCCACCAGGAAGTCATGGAGGAGAACTGGCAGATGCTATCCTCTCTCGGTAAGACCCCCTCTTTCTCCAGCTGATGCTAATCTCTCTTTACCAAGGCAATAAGGAGACTAACAACAACAGTAATAATAGTTTTCCTGCATCAAAAATTCAGACTCATGCTAGCCATTCCCTGGCCCCTAATGCCAAATATCTCCCCACTTTTCACAAAACATAAAAGAAGGAATTATTAACCACTCAAATAAAAAAACTTTTCCTTAGGGAGACCATAAGAGTTGAAAGTGGAGGGAAAATATCTCAGCGGAAAGAGGCCACACTGAGAGAAAAAAGAGAAAATAGTTTGAATGGAGAAACCCACACCATAGTTGGAGCTTTCATCCATGAGGTGGTGGAGAACCCCTTCCCCAAACAAGACCACCCCGCCCCGAGTAGACGTTGTCCAGAGGGGTGGGGTAAAATTCAAATAAATAAATAAATAAATAAAGACCACGTGGATAACAGAAAGAGAGAGAGTTGTGGGGAGACAACACACTGCCACTGTTGCCCTGGCAGTTTCCAGGGCACCTCTACGAGACTCTAAACTGAGAGAAAAAATTATCCCAGTCCTGAGATTTGGGGAAATTAGAAGTTTCAGCAAATTATTCTGTTAATCCCTTCTGTTCTCAGTTGGAGGAGAAGGTGGAACCACTTTGTTGAAGGGTTTGTAAAGAAAGGTTGATAGTTTAAATCAAGAAGGATTGTCTAACGTATCTGTTGATGGGGAACAAAAAAGGGGGGGGCAGAGATGAATCCTCACATAGGCCAGCAGATGAGATTGCAAAATTAAAAAGGAGAAAAGGACAAAATATTACGTACCTTAAAACCCCAACAGATTTATTTTTATTTGAGATTTCCTGGATCCAAATCCACTCTTAACAAACCCTCTCTTCCTCCCCCCCATAGATCTATCTGACACTTCAGTCTTGTCTCTCCCGTGTTCGTCCTTCTTCCTCGGAGATAACTGGAGGAAGGAAAATTTATATCACAAATCTGGAAAGAGTTTTACGCACCAGTTAGAAGTTACCAGATGCCAGAGAATACATGCAGAAATAGAAAGCTGTATTCCAGAGAATCCTTTCAAATGCATTGTGTGTGGAAAATATTTTGCCATGAACCCAGCGCTGATGGTTCGCAAAGGGATCCACACTGGAAAGAAGGGCTTTGTGAGTGAAATATGTGGGAAATGTTTAAATTGGATGCAACAGTTTGTGAATTGTGAAAGAAACAAACCATACAAATGCCAGGAGTGTGAGAAATCTTTTGCTAAAAATTCAAACCTTTTGAAGCATAAGAGACTCTACACAGGAGAAAAACCATACAAATGCCAGGAGTGTGAGAAATCTTTTGCTAAAAATTCAAACCTTTTGAAGCATAAGAGACTCTACACAGGAGAAAAACCATACAAATGCCAGGAGTGTGAGAAATCTTTTGCTAAAAATTCAAACCTTTTGAAGCATAAGAGACTCTACACAGGAGAAAAACCATACAAATGCCAGGAGTGTGAGAAATCTTTTGCTAAAAATTCAAACCTTTTGAAGCATAAGAGACTCCACACAGGAGAAAAACCATACAGATGCCAGGAGTGTGGGAAATGTTTTGCTACGAATGCATACCTTGTGAGTCATAAGAGAGTCCACACAGGAGAGAAACCATACAAATGCCCGGAGTGTGGAAAATGTTTTACTTGGAAATCAAGTTTTGTGAAGCATAAGACAGTGCATACAGGAGAGAAACCGTACAAATGTCAGGAGTGTGGGAAATGTTTTGCTGGGAAATCAAGTCTTGTGAAGCATAAGAGACACCACACAGGAGAGAAATCTTATATATACCAGGAGTGTGGGATATATTTTGCTACAAATCAATACCTTGTGAGTCAGAATAGAGTCCATGCAAGAGAACATCCATACAAATGCCAGGAGTGTGGAAAACATTTTACTCAGTATTCCAGCCTTGCGAAGCATGAGAGACTCCACACAGAAGAGAAACCTTACATATGCCAGGAGTGTGGGAAACATTTTACTCAGTATTCCAGCCTTGCGAAGCATGAGAGACTCCACACAGAAGAGAAACCTTACATATGCCAGGAGTGTGGGAAACATTTTACTCAGAAGTCCAATCTTGTGAAGCATAAGAGACTTCACACAGGAGAGAAACCTTACACATGCCAAGAGTGTGGGAAATGTTTTGCTACAAATCGATACCTTGTTAGACATAAGAGAGTCCACACAGGAGAGAAACCTTACAAATGCCAGGAATGTGGGAAATGTTTTACTCAGAATTCAACCCTTTTGTGTCATAAGAGAGTCCACACAGGAGAGAAACCATTTAAATGCCAGGAGTGTGGAACATGTTTTGCTCAGACTGCACACCTTTTGATCCATAAGAGAGTGCATACAGGAGAAAGACCATACAAATGCCATGAGTGTGGGTATCTTTTTGCGAGAAACTCAAGTCTTGTGAAACATAAGAGAGTCCACAAAAGAGAGAAACCATAGAAATGCTAGGAGTGTGGGAAATCGTTTGCTCAAGATTCCTACTTCTTGAACCATAAGACAGAAATTGTAGAAATGCCTGAATTATGAGAATTGTTTTGCTCAGAATTCACCTTTTAGGGACTTTCAGGCAGTCCAGTCAAGGGAAAATAGAGAAGTGCATGATGTGACATGAAGGGTATGGAGGGAGGGGACTATGGTGTTTTGTGGTAAGGTACCAGAGTTATAACTACTAACTTTGGTGCCCAAAGCTTCATATGGGATTGTTACTGAGGGAGGATGAGGAATTGGGAGGAATGCTAGTTTAGAGCATAAAGTGACCATACAGTGGTGCCTCGCTTAACAATGTTAGTTGGTTCCAAAAAAAAACATTGCTATGGGAAAACATCGTTAAGCGAAACACCATTTCCCATAGGGATGCATTGAAAACCGGTTAAGCGAAAATCCCCATAGGAAACATCACTAAGTGAAACAATGTTTTCCCCATCGGAAAGCCATTGAAATGCATTGAAGCCGACTCAATGCATTTCAATTGGCTTTCTGATGTCCGTTTTCGCTCATTTTTAAGTGTCTTAAAATGTTTGAAACCTGTTTTAAATGCTTGGAATT